GATGGTTATAGGCTAAAAAAAGTTTCGATATAGAAAGGGGGCGTGGCACCTCCCATACAAACCGAATTTTTCAAACTGCATATATTTGTGGTAGAGGACTAGAACTGGGTATGGGGATAAATTTCATACTCATGGAGAAAAATTTGCATGGTTGGAGAATGGGGCGTGGCACCTCCCATATAAACCGAACTTTTCGTATTGCATATCTCTGGAAGTGTTCATGGTAGACTGTAAGCCTTTTTAAAACTCTTTAGTTTGACACCCACATGTCAACATTTCATTTACTTTATCAATTTAACTGAGTTACAATTTCCAAATAGGTGGCAGCCCCTCTCAAAAATATTTCCAACACTTTACTTTGATACCCATATTGTAATATTTTATTTATTTTATAAAAGTCATTTAGTTAAATTTTCAAACAGATGGCAACCCTCCTCAAACATATTTTCGGCAGTAAGCCTTCTTAAAACTCTTTAGTTTGACACCCACATGGCAATATTTCATTTATTTTATCAATTTGACTGAGTTAAAATTTTCAAATAGGTGGCAACCCTCGTCAAAAATACTTCCAACAGTTATCTTTCTTAAACCTCTTTAACTTGATACTCATATTGTAATAATTCATTAATTTTATCAATTGGGTTTAAACATTTTAAAATAGGTGGCAACCCTCCAAATTTTTGCGATATCATTGGTTCTGGTATTATAACGAATAATAAAAAAAATAAATAATAAAAAAAATAATAAAAAAAAAAAATTATTCAAATCGGTTCAGCCGTTCTCGGGTTTTGATGACCGTGACATACGAACACAACATTTTTATATATATCTATTGATATACATAGAAGATGTCCAATGTGTGCTTTCGATTTTAATCTTTGACCACAACAAAAATTCCACATTCTACATTCGTGAATGAGCTTTCAGTTTCTCGATTACTTTTACAATTCCTTTGAGTAATTGAAAAAACTAAAGTGCTCTTGGAATTCCAGGTAATGGAATTAAAAAAAAAACAATACATTTTCAATTCCTTTCAAAGGAATTGGAAAAACAAATTACATTACTAGCACGTAATTTATTCCAATTACATTATGAAATTCCTTGTAATGGAATTGAAAAAAAAAAACAATTACATTTGAAATTACTTCAAGGAATTGAAAAATCAAGTTTTTGTGTTTCAATTTGTTTTGTGCGAATGTCTGCTTCATGATATTAACGCATACGGATTACTTAGAGACTTCAAAATGTTTAGTTCGTATGCAATATTTATCTCCGCGTACGATGAGACCTCATGGGAAATAACTAATTACCGCCTTGGCCTCTTTTTTGGCGGGAAGACATGCATACAATTTTGATATTTTTTGATAATTTTTATTTTTAATATTTTTCAGAATATAAATTTTTTGAACATTGGCGTGTCAAATGAAAGCTTTTGGGTCTTTCTGATTGGCCGGAGCAGAAAGCTTTCTGATACAACTCTGCGCTGAACTGGTTTTCAAACGAGTTAAATGATTTAACTGGTTCAATTTTCCAACAATTGCATGCGATTTAACTTGTTTATGAACATGTTTTGTTCATTTAACTGGTTTAAGCCCATTTAACATGTTTAGCTCGTCAATTTGAACGGAGTCTAAGTCTTCCATACAAAATAAGCTAAGAGCTTAAATTTCTTGTCAAATAAAACACGCCTACTATTGAAGTAAATTAGCGATATGTATAATAACGGTGACCATCCGTAATGTATTATACGGGAAAGTCATTTTTTTGACCCATTGTCCCGGTAATTTATTAATTTTATACGGGATGCCAAATGTTCTGTATATCTTTTAATTTCCTGTATTTTTCCCGTATCGGTGTTCCGACGCCTTAACAGCTCATTAAAATGGCATTCCTATGAACGAGTTTTAAGTGATGTTGGTTGATGATCGTAATTTTCTTTTCTTTATAATGCCACTAGGCATTAAATGGCAAAAATGACAAATGACAAAGTGGGGCATTAAAAAATATTCGTGTCATTACGTTAAAAAAATTTTCTTTAAGTTCATTTCCACATGGCATTTTTTTAAATGGCATATATTTTCTGTCATTTCAATGCCTAGTGGAAATTCGGCATTATTATTTTCTAATCTGAATGCCTGTGATTCGAATCGAGGAATACATACACTGGCCAAAATAGTAATTAGGAATCGACATTTTAGCAAATTTTGGCTATTCTTCCTTAGTTTATTTAATGCTTATTATTTATTTTATGAAAGTAAAGCTCTTTTCCTAACAAAAACCATATAATACCAAATTTCCAACTTTGTGCAAAAAACTATAAAAATTAATTCTGCAATGTTTCGCCAAAATTTCAAACTCTTTAATTAGAATCATTAGAAAAAAATTTGTTTTACAGTTTTGTAACTCATTAAAATTGAGTATAGTAAAGTGCGAGTGAAAGTGCTGCTCATTTGTTTCTCTTTCAAAAACAATGGTCGAACATACTTTGTATGAAAAAAATGCGTAACACCGTCAAAAAAAAAAAATGCCAAAAATTAGTGGTAAGCCTTACCGACTTAAAATTGCACTAAATTATACTAAAATTTAACGAGTTTTTTAAACAAATTTTACAGGGTAAAAATGTCGAGAAAATTATCCTACAAATTTGCGGTGTTACTATAAGGTGGCCGCTGTGGTGTAGTGGTAAGCAGTGCGCGCTTCCACACCGCAGCGTCTGGGTTCAAAGCAACATCAAAAAAGAATAAAAAATTTTGAAAAAAGGTTTTTTCTTAACCGCGGTCTCCCCTCAAGAGGCATTGGCAAATCTCCGAGTGTACTTCTGCCATGAAAAACCGCTTCTCATAAAAATACAATCGCCGTTCGGAGTCGGTATAAAACTGTAGGTTGTTGTTGTTGTAGCAGCATACAAATTCCCCAAAGACTTTTTGGGGAGTGTTGCTGGAGTGACAGTCCTTGGCCAGATATAAATCAGGGTCGTTCCGGTTACGTAGACCCGACTGTCGTGGGAACGATAAAACTGTAGGGCACTCCCCTTTGTGTGACCACATCAAGGCGCACGTCACAAATCGGAGGAGAAGCTCGGCCAAACACTAACATATGTGTAAGCGCCAATCTATTATTATTATTATTACTATGAGGATACTGTTTCAGGGAAAACTGTGTGGAAAAAATTTAAACACTTTTTTGTCCCTATTCGGCTCTCATAAATATGGTCACCATATGTACAATGGAAGCTTTAAAGTACCTTAAAACTAACCGATATTAATACAGATTTTTACAATTTAGAAAGAAGTGTTTAGAAAAGGCAGTGTTAAAAGTAAACTTTACTAATCAAAGTAAATATATATTTTGTCTAGTTTTTTTACGTCTGGGTTACAAAAACTTCGTGACACACTCCCCGAACGGTTTGGTGAATACACATAAAGCTTGTACAAGCGAACACTATTAATGCAGATTTGAAGTGTTCGCCAAACCGTTCGCTTCGTCAAATGGGCTGAGTTCCAAGTTGGTATATTGCAAAGCATCAGCCTTTTTCATTTCTAAACTATAACTGATGGAAATGACCAATTTGCGCAACTAAGTTCCAATTTGGCATTTGAACATGGTTGCGCATATTGAATATTTCCATCAGTTATAGTTTAGAAATAAAGGAGGCTGATGCTTTGCAATATACCAACTTGGAACTCAGCTTCAGAATACCAGCTTAAATCTATTCCCTTCCCTTTGTTATGGTATACTGGATACCTATTCAAACCAATCAAAAATAAGCAGGTTTTTGTTGTTTTACGATAAGCCGCATGAAAAACGATCAATACCAAGTATTTTCGGTAGTAGTGCACTTTAGCGAAAGCAGGTAAAAATGGACGGAAAAAGTTCGAGTGGTATCAATCGAGGCGTCTTAACATTTTTAATTCATTAAAGAGTTATTTGCAAAAAACACTTGTACTTTCCGCACTATGTTTTGATGAATTTCACGCAAATGAATGGAATAAATGAACTCAATTTAATACGTATTTATTAGTTTTTATACATTTGTGATGTTTTAAGTGTACTTTTTCGCGAAATTCTGTACTTAATAGCAATATTCCGATGGTGAAAATCCGCACAACAATCTTGTGTAGTTAATATAAATGGTGCTGCAACTCTATTAATACAGTTTGTATTTCAACTTTAAAAACACCCAAATAATGCACAAGAAATATACTTTTGTGAAAAGGGGATTTCTGTTCCTTTTCTTCGCACGCAGAAAGGAGAATTCTACGTAGTGAGGGTTATAATCTCTAAGCGCGGCCGAAGGCCGCCTACGCAGAAAGGTGTTCTCTGCAAAAGGTGTTCTGCCCCTTTTCTTTGGCAACACAGAAAGGAGAATTCTACGTTGTGAGGGTTATAATCTCTAAGCGCGGCCGAAGGCCGCCTACGCAAAAGGAGTTGGATGCACGAAAACTTTTTTAATAGAGTGGCAGCAGCAATTTAGTTCCATTTTATTTTTAATAGAGTGGCAACACTAGTTTTCCTGTTATTTATATTTCCCGTTATTTATATTAACTACGCAAGATTGTTGTGCGGATTTTCACCATCGGAATATTGCTATTAAATACAGAATTTCGCGAAAGTGTACACTTAAAACATCACAAATGTATAAAAACTAATGAATATGTGTTCAGTTGAGTTCATTTACTCCATTTATTTGCGTCAAATTCATCATAACATAGTGCGAAAAGTGCAAGTGTTTTTTGCGAACAACTCTTTAATGAATTAAAAATGAGAATTTCCACTCTCAGATTATTGTTGTTCGCATTAAAACGCTTCGATTGATACCCCTCTTGAATTTTTTTCATCAATTTTGGCCTACTTCCGCTAAAGTACACTTTTACCGTATTTTCTTACATTTTACACTTTTCTTTAGAATTCTGCAAAATTAAAGCAAAGCTCTTCTCATTTCTACAAGTAAAGAAAAAAACGAAAACTGCATCTGCAACCGCATCAAAGCATGATTGTACCTATTGTAAAATACTGCAAACGTCGGAAAACGGTACAACTGTACCTACTTTGTCAGCCCTGTTTCAAAGCTTATATCATTTTCCCGCATAAATACAACCCTGCCTTCTGCTGCCTGCTCGCTCACAAACTCGCTTGTTCGTTGCTTCCCCAATTCGATTGCTTCGCAGCCGAAGATTTACCCACTCACACACTAATGTAAGCACTTAATACCTGATACATATTTACAATTACCAGAATGACACGATGATGTTAATAAGTCGTATTCTCAGTACATTTTAATTTTCTTACATCTATGTATATGCATACATATGTACTTGTGTAAATAATTTTGATTATTTATGCGCTTCACTTAAAAAGAATTGTAATAATCTCACATTCCATGTTGAATACGGTCACTTAATTTTGAAAATTCCTTTTCTCATACCCAAATGTTGCACTTTACACTATATATGTATTCGCATTAGAATTAGCAAACATATTGTCTTCTCATGTATTTTTTCACCAAATATTTTATACATGTACATATGTATGTACATAAAATGTTAATATGTAAAATGAATTTGGCAAATTCTAACATATTCTTTTGGAACTTTACACTTTTTTAAATATGTTTCTTAATGGGACGCCATTGAAGAACAATTTTTGAATTAACTTGATATAGAGGGGAAGAACTTTAGCAGCAAGCTAAAACAAGGAAGAAAAAATTTGAATAGAACGAAATACGTCGGCGGAGGTGAGACGACGAGCTAAGGTGCGTAGACTGAACTCAACTGAACCGAATGAGGTGGAGAGAAGTGAAGAGAACTCATTGCTATTGCTGCCATTACCGCTGCTGCCGCCACCACCACAGTCAGCGCTGCTGCTCTGAGACGGAGATGAGAACGTAGAAGTGGCAAATATATGTATAAGAATGATTGACGCTCAATTTAGTGCACTCACACTAATCGGCGGCTGCGCCGCCGCGCGCCTTACAAACAAATGTGTTTACATAGATTCTTACTAGCACAGGGCAGGAGGTACTTACTATCCAACATACAGTGGTGTGTTTCTTATTGGGAAAGGTAGTGGAAATATATTACAGGCCAACTAAATATTCACGCATGCCGGCAATTATACAAAAAAAAAATGTCTCATGATCATACAACGTGAATGGGATCTCCGAAATTTAACGACGTACGTAAAAATTACTTTTTAAATCTCTCGTCCGTTCTAAACTAGAATATGCTGTCCGTATCCGGAGACCATACCACAATTGCCATATTGAAAGGATTGAGCGGGTACAAAAAGCCTTCATAAGTTTTGGCCTCCGTTCACTTCAGTTTACTGATCCGATTCTATCTTACACTGCCATATGTCAGTTAATCGATCTTGACACTGCATTATTTTCGTGTATTACGATGTCATCATTACTAACCATGGGATATTTTATATTATCTATCGTTCTTAAATAAATAAAAAAAAAATTTAACAAACTTAGAGCTATATAAAAAAAATTAGATTAAATGAGTTAACCAGCCCTATTCTGCATTTCGACTCGAATCGAAATTTTTTCGGTTTGGAAACTTTGGTATTCTGCGTTCCGTTTCGTTTCGATCAATCTTCGAAATTTACGATTATACCTACCTACTCTACATTTCGATCGTAGTTCCGTTTTTCTAAGTTGCAAATTTGTTGACAGAGAACGGGGCTTATACTTCTAAATATATATCATCAGAAAATAATGAAAATTCGCTTCAGATAATACGTTCTTTAAAATACATTTATGCAAGTTTTATGTACAGTATGTAATAAATAAATAAACTTTTTAAAGTTTCATAAACTGCATTTTATTTACATAAAATTTGCAAAGAACTCAAACATTTTCAACCGGCTTCAAAAAAGGGGAGGTTATCAATTCTTCGGAGTATTTTTTCTTCTTTTATATATGCCACCACATAACTTTGGACCGCGTGAACCGATTATAATAATTCTTTTTTTTTACCGGAAAAATGGTACCTTAAGGGTAGTTCCGTAATTTGGTTTATATCCGATCATTGAATCATGAAAAAATTAACGGTACTCCTAAATTTGTATATGAGAATCGATGTCGGTTTTGCATTTTTCTTAAAAATTACTTGTTTAATAAAAAGTTCTATAAACACAAGATGCACTCAACTTTCAAAAGTAGTACAAAATTTTACAACAGAATTTTAATATAAATAAATTAAATAATTCCATGAAATTTTTACACTTTTCGTCGATTTCTTAAACTTAACTGAACTTGTATTTTAATCATGTAGCTCATTTAGGTGCAACGAATTCTAAGCTAGCAAATTAAATCTTCGAATGCTTAATAAGTACATATCAGTCGTTAACTTTTTTAGGCTGTAAAGTGTAAAAAGCAACAGTAAGTGAGTATGCATTGCATATTTTTAGGACAATGTTTTCATTCGCAGGTAAACTTTAAAGAGCTCTCAAGAAAAACGAAAAATTCTTACAAAATGACGCACAAGAAATGGAAAAGAAATTTTCTTCTATCAAAATTTCTTAAATCAGTTTGCAGCTCTCAAGAAAAAAATGCTCTTTTATTTATTTCTCCAAGAAAATTAGCTTTTTCAAGCAACAGAAATAATAAGAAATATTTCTTGTGGTTTTCTTGAGAGCTGGATTCTAAGCTTTAAGATACAGTTTGTAATTGAGGTTATGAGCTTTGGGGGAGGGGGTTTGAACCCCAAAACCCACCCCTTGTGTGCGCTAATGCTAAGTGCTAATATTTACTCATCTTTAAACAGTTTGTGTGTAGTTTTTCTCTACGTGACAAATTTGTCATGTAAAAGTAAACAGACAGTGTTTATTTTTGCAGACACTAGGAGAAGAAACTGGTTACCTCTTTATATGCGTAAACTTAAACAATTTGTTAGAGGAAATTTTAAACATTTTTTATGTGTAAACTGTGAAATTGTGAACAATAAATTTTTAGAACTCAAAAAACAAATTTGAAATTTGTTCTACGAAACACATATGATAAGTAAAAGTAAGCAAGCAGTTTTTAATTTAATTAACACGGTGTGTAAATTTGCAGTCATTAAGAGAGGAAACTGGTTACCTATCTTAATATGCGGGAATTTAAACAAAATTTTTTTAGAGTGCAGAGCAATACGAAAAATTTGCTGAAATAACCAAAAGGTATATTGCGCGGGGTTTTCAAAGTGGAAGTCCAAGCATTTTTTTCATTATCTATAAATAAGACTGTGAAATGCACTGATACAATTTATTCTTTTGCGCCTAAAAGCACGCAACATAGAAAAGTAACGGATGCAATGAGTAATCAACCAAAGCTGGCAGTATGAGAGGCCAGTGTTGGGAAATGAAATTTTTCATTCAATGCGAAATCTATACGAAAACTGTACTCTTCGACTATAAGTTGTATCAACTTTTTAATTTGCTCATATATTTGCTTAGTACATTCCCTTCAAGACCAATGATTCATGAGTATTCATGAGAAAGTTTTCTTGTTTATGTACACACATTTACGTATTTTACACTTTTATAAATTGATTCCACGTACACATGTACTTCATTTAACATAAATATGTATACACATATTTTCAAGTAAACTTCTTAACAGAAAGTATTTTTAAGTTATTATTAATGGACAAAAGAAACATCTTTTTGGATTCGGTAAAAAATTTTGACATTTTAATAGCATTTCAAGTGCTTACCAAAACTTTACGACACTCACATGTTGACCAGATTTGAC